TCTCTTTGGGAGATTTTTGATGCTTTTTATTTATTTATTTATTTATTTATTTGTAGACAACATATACTTTAATTTTCATTTAAATTTCATTTTCATTTCACTTATATATTTTACATATGACTCATTATCCTTTAAAAGTTTTTTTAATTATTATTATTCATTCTCTCCCTGGATTTTTTCATGTCTTTTGCTGTTGTTGTTCAGTTGCTCAGTTGTGTCCTACTCTTTGCGACCTCATGGGCTGCAGAATGCCAGGCGTCTGTGTCCTTCACCATCTCCCAGAGCTTGCTCAAACTCATGTCCATTGAGTCAGTGCTATCATCCAACCATCTCATCCTCTGTCATCCCCTTCTCCTCCTGCCTTCAATCTTTCCCAGCATCAGGATCTTTTCTAATGAGCTGCCTCTTCACCTCAGGTGGCCAAAGTATTGGAGCTTCAGCTTCAGCGTCAGTCCTTCCAATGAATATTCAGGACTGATTTCCTTTAGGATTGACTTTTGATGCTTTTTAAAGGCCTTTCATAAGAACTCAGGCATTTCCTAAGAACATAATTTATTATATATGATTCATCTGTATTATATATAGATATGTATATCTATGTATTTATCTCAGTTCCCTTACCTGGAATATTAGAAATGAAGCATTAATTGTGTTTCAGATTCATTCTGTTTCTAGAATTCTTTGACTATTTCATTATTTGGAATTAATTTAGTCAACTGGTTTGTTTTTCATTTTTTTAAAAACTGGCTTATTTGTCTAACTGGAAGAATAATTTGCATGCTTACTGAAGTGTGAAATTTTCTTTCTTTTATGTTGCTTTTCTGTTTTTTAAACTTTGACCTGCACTTAAATATACTTATGTTGAAGCAAGTTATTTTTTTTAAACCTATATCTAAAAATGGAATATAATTATGACTTTCACTTTCATGTGTACAGCAAATTAGGAGAAATTTGAATAACTGAGAAAGTGAGTGTATAAAAGAATTACTTTAGTTCTTTGAGACAAGTGAAAACAAACTTTGCTTTTGGACTGGAATATTAACTTGTTATTGGACTCACTTTTATTAAAATGCTACACTAAATTTTTTTAAACAGTTTTATTGAGAAATAATTTATCACTTAAAATGTACAATTCAGTGTTTTTTACTATATTTGTGCAGAAAGTTGTGCAGCCATCACCACATCAATTTTATAACATTTTCATCACTCAAATAAGAAACTCCATGCTCATGAGCAGTTACTATCTTCCCCAACCTCCTTCCTCTATAGAGTTCCCAGACCTAGATAACCACTAATCTACTTGTTTCTACAGATTTGCCTAATCTAGACATGATATATAAAGTATCAATACTTTATCCTTTTTTAATGACTGATTAATAGTTCATTGTATGGATACCACATTTTATTTATCTATTCATCAATTGGTTGACATTTGGGTTATTTCCATTCTTTGGCTATTATGAGTAATGCTGCTATTAATATTTGGTTACAACTTTTTGTGTGGACATATGTTTTCATATCTCTTGGATACATATCTAGGAGTGGAATTTCTGTGTCATATGGTAACTGTGTTCAAGTTTTTGAGGAACTATCAGACTATTTTCCAAAGCAGTAGTACCATTTTACATTCCTACTAGCAGTGGATGAGGATTCCAGTTTCTCTGCATCCTCACCAACACAGATGAACCTTGAAAACATTCTAAGCAAAAATATCTAGACATGAAAGACCACATATTTTGTGATTCCACTGATATGGAATGTCCAGAGAAGGCAAAACTATGGAGACTGAAAGTAATCAATCACTGGTTGCCTAGGTCTGACAGTTGGTGGAGAGATTGGGGGGAAATGGGGAGTGATTACTATTTAATTGGAAGTGGGTTTTTTTGAGGTGGGGTTAGGGTTAGTGTTATGATTGGATATTTTATAGTGAGTTTTTGTCAGTTTTTATGGGTTTATAATGGTATTATGAATATATTAAGAAAATTTTATCTAGAATTGTAGGGATTTGCTCAGAATGATACGGCGGAGGGGAATAAGTGAGTGAGTATTGCGGGTGGAACAGGATTTTGTAATGTTTGAAAATTTCCAAACTAAAAAGTTAAAAGAAGAGGTGGTAAGCCAGGAGAATGGTGTTTTAGAAACCCAGACACAGAGTTTCTGTAATAATCAGTGAATAACGTCGTTAGATGGCATAGAGAGGTCAACGAGAGTAAAGACAAAACATGCCATTGATTTCTGCAGCTGCTTGACGTTAGATACAGCCGTTTTAGTAGTGTTTGGACTAAAACCCGATAGCAAAATTGGGAGGAATGCTTGGAAGATAGGAACATAGAGGAAACAGGGTGGGTCATTCTTGATTGTAAGAAAAGTTATTACTAATAAATCTAAAAGATTATAAACCTATCATTTAAAAAATATGAGTATGAAGTCAAAATTCAAAGACCCTGCCCCGCTTCTGCTGCTTCTCACTCACTGCTTCCAGCTTGGTTTGCAGTTTTCTCTGGAAACTACACTGTGGCTACAGAATGAATGGCAGCCCGGGCAGGAGAGAGATTTTTGAGGGGGAGACTCAAACTTGCCTTTGGCTGAGAAGAGCTAGTGGAAGGAAAGAAAAAATAACAGTGAAACTGGAGATGACTAGTGGAATAACTCCTGGAAAAGATAAAAGGAAGGAGGGATTCAGTGGCCAAGTTGGAGAAAAGAAAAGGGGCCCTTGTTTCTTTGAGTCAGAAGGAAAGGAGATCACTTCACTTTTGTCTCTCAAGTAGTAGACCGGTCCCTGCTGTGAGTGACTGAGGTTTGGACAGGGTTGATGGCATCTCTTGGTGTAACCACAGGAATGAGCAAAAGAATGGCAGCATGCAGGAGCCAGGTCAGGCCCCACCTACATTCAAAATGACTTTTTCATTGAGGAATGCCATGATGCAGGGGGATGTGCCATCTCATGGATTCCCGAGGATGACTCAGTTCATTGGCTGGTTGACTAAGGGAGCTGTTTCTTCCTTCCCCTCTCTGGTCTTAAGTTTACTAAACTGTGCATTTACATTTAAAAGCCAACTTTTTCACTCTTCTCTTTCACTTTTATTAAGAGGCTGTTTAGTTCTTCTTCCCTTTCTGCCAGTGGTGTCATCTGCATATCTGAGGTTATTGGTATTACTCCCAGCAGTCTTGATTCCAGCTTGTAATTCATTATGAATGATGATTCAGCATTATGCGTGATGTACTCTGCATATAAGTTAAATAAGCAGAGTGACCATATACAGCCTTGATGTACTCCTTTCCCAATCTGGAACTAGTCCGTTGTTCCATGTCCAGTTCTAACTGTTGCTTCTTGACCTGCCTACGGATTCCTCAGGAGGCAGGTAAGGTGGTCTTGTATTCCCATTTCTTTCAGAATTTTCCACAGTTTACTGTGACCCACACAGTCAAAGGCTTTGGCGTAGTCAATAAAGCAGAAGTAGATGTTTTCCTGGAACTCTCTTGCTTTTTCGATAATCCAACAGATGTTGGCAATTTGATTTCTGGTTCCTCTGCCTTTTCTAAATCCAGCTTGAGCATCTGGAAGTTCATGGTTCATGTACTGTTGAAGCCTGGCTTGGAGAATTTTCAGCATTACTCTGCTAGCATGTGAGATGAGTGCAATTGTGTGGTAGTTTGAACATTCTTTGGCACTGCCTTTCTTTGGGATTGGAATGAAAACTGACCTTTTCCAGTCGTGTGTCCACTGCTGAGTTTTCCAAATTTGCTGGCATATTGAGTGCAGCACTTTTAACAGCATTATCTTTTAGGATTTGAAATAGCTCAGCTGGAATTCCATCACCTCCACTAGCTTTGTTTGTGGTGATGCTCCCTAAGGCCCACTTGACTTCACATTCCAGGATGTCTGGCTCTAGGTGATTGATAACACCAGTGAAAAAACTGGCTTAAAACTCAGCGTTGAGAAAACAAAGATCATGGCATCCAGTCCCATCACTTCATGGCAAACAGATGGGGAAACAATGGAAACAGTGACAGACTATTTTTTTTGGTTCCCAAAATCACTGCAGATGGTGACTGCAGCCATGAAATTAAAAGACGCTTGCTCCTTGGAAGAAAAGCTATGACAAACCTAGACAGTATATTAAACAGAGACATTACTTTGCTGACAAAGGTCCATCTAGTCAAACCTGTGGTTTTTCCAGTAGTCATATATGGGTGTGAGAGTTGGACCATAAAGAAAGCTGAGCGCCCAAGAATTGATGCTTTTGAACTGTGGTGTTGGGGAAGACTCTTGAGAGTCCCTTGGACCTCAAGAAGATGAAACCAGTCAATCCTGAAGGATATCAGTCCTGAATATTCACTGGAAGGACTGATGCTAAAGCTGAAACTCCAATATTTTGGCCACCTTATGCAAATAACTGACTCATTGGAAAAAAAAAAAAACAGTGCTGGAAAAGATTGAAAGCAAGAGGAGAAGGGGACGACAGAGGATGAGATGTTGGATGGCCTCATCAACTCAATGGACATGAGTTTGAGCAAGCTCCGGGAGTTGGTGAATGACAGAGAAGCCTGGCGTGCTGCAGTCCATGAGATCACAAAGAGTCAGACACGACTGAGCGACTGAACTGAACTGACAGTTAAAAGCAATCAAGCAGGAACGCTCTTCAGTCCAGAGTACTTTAGTAGCTGTTCTTCCTTTCTGTGAGCTTCTTGAGAAGGCTCTCAGGTGAACGATAAATTTGACAAAATGATTACAGACCTCATGCATTGATAAAATCATTTTCACTTCCTCTTTTAAAGAAACGAGTAAATTATCCCTGGCCATTAATCATACTGCAGTGACAATCTAAAATGTGGTCAGGGTAGATTCTATTTGCTATATTTTGAATATAAACATCATTAAGAATTAAATGGTTATATATATATAAAGTTTGTATCTATGAACCTCATTTAATATTTTTACTAATCACATTTAGAGGATTTAAAATATGAGCTTTACTTTTCCTTTTTGTATTTTTTAGGAGACCCATGTACAGTATCATCTCAGTTGGAGTTAGAAGAGGCCTTTAGGCTTTATGAGCTAAACAAGGATTCTGAACTGTTGATTCATGGTAAGGAGTAGTCATTTCTTACTCTTCCTATAATCTTGGGAAATTTCTTATTTGTGTATGTCTTCCTGGATATTAAACTGGGATCATATCAGTGTTTCACAGCAAATTTTTGGCATACAATTTAAGAATCGAGTGCCCAGCAGAACCTAAGTCATCTTCTTGCAGTTTTGTAATATATTCAAATAATGATTTCCAGAAATAAGATATCTTAAATGTTCTTTCTTTTGTTTAAGGATTAACCATGAAATTATTTACGTAGTTATCATAAACTTTAGTGTGTTAAAGGTCAACAAGCCTCAGAGGTGGGCAGTGGTATAGAAAGAGAGACTGAAACTCAGCCACCACGTAACTGGTACACTGTAGACCTGGGTTGTATATCCAGATATTTTCATCCCAACCTGTTCTTTTCATTCTGCCATCCTGCCCCTCAAATTTTTTTATGTTATGTAGAACCCACTTAATGTGATTAATATAATTATAATGCATTAGCAGTATTTCATGTAACATTTTTGGGAGCCTTAGGAGACCAAACCTAGGGAACTGTTTAAAACTTGAAACAAATACACATCTCCCTTCAATGTAATGACTCATCTCATTACCTTGTTGTTATTCCCTTGAACTTTCCTTTGCAGTGTGTTTTCTTAAAAAACAATGGTTTGATTTTTGTCTCCCTTCGGAGTTTGACCTAGTGACTCCCAAATGTTTCATGCTCTGTAATTTATTGAGATCCTGGAAGAACTTTAGAAGTCATTCTTTGGTCGTCTCTTTCTAGAATAAAACTACAGTGGATGTGTAAAGAAATTGTGGATCCATAGTCATGAACAGTTTAAGTGTTGCTGCTTTTTATGCTGTATCACAGATCTGTTTTCAGAAGTTAGCTTATATTTCAACTTTTAAAAATATTTCAGGAACTGTGCTTCCCATGCTCTGTGCTCTAAACCATGTCCTTTTTGTACGTCACAAAGAGTTGCAAACTGTTCATAAATGTGCTGTTTCATTATATTCTCTTTATAAGAATGTTTTGAATTAGCATGTTTATGAATGTGTAGTTCCTTTGGCAAAGCTTATGTTTTTGTATTTGGGTATGGTTTTCAATGAAGTTTAGTATATCCATATTTTAAAAACTATCGTGGCTTATGTTTATTTTTGAATACATCTTGTAATTTTAATTTTTCATCCTAGTAGATTTGTCACTACAATAAAGATTTAAGGAAATAGTTAATGATTTCTCTTATGACAAAAAAGTTGGTGATGTAATAGGGACAGGAATGAGTAATTTGAGCTTCTGATACATTGTTTATGGATGTTGCTTTCATAGGAACTTCTTTCATTATAGCCTTGCTAAAATGGATCCCTTCCAAAAATCATACTGACCATATACTGAGAGGGTCAGGTTGACATTTTGATCAACTTATATGATTTTTTAATTTAAAATTCTGTATAATTTGTATGTTTTAAATGTGCTGTATTAATTTTAATTTGTTGTCTTTCAGTATTCCCTTGTGTACCAGAACGTCCTGGAATGCCCTGTCCAGGGGAAGATAGTAAGTGTTTATATACATCATTCCTTTGAGTAGAGTTATTTATAATAAAATGGCACAAGTGAATGAAATCAGAACTAGAACTTTTAATTCATTTGTTTTCTTTTTCATTCTTAAGTCTAATTTAGATAGATTAGCACATTGCCTAAATTCTCTACTTTCGCTAGGTCAAAATCAGGCAGTTTAAAAAAAAAAGCAGGTAGTTTTTTGTTACAACTTACTGACAATTGTCTATTGTGCATTTGAAAGGAAAATTAAGTTCATTATAAGTCATTTCTTTTTTTTAATTTTGGAAATTTTCAAACCTTAGGAGAAGTTTAAAAAACATAAAAACATTGAAAACAAAGTTACCCATATATCCTTTACCTAGATTCACCAGTTATTAACATTTTCTATGTTTGCTTTATCTCTGTATCTGTGCACACATATACATACATGTATATACACAGCAAACACTTATTTTTATTTTTTTGCTGTATCATTTTAGAGGAAGTAGTTGACATGGCACTTTACCTCTAAATACTCTATCATGAATCCTTAGGGACTGTTATGGGACTTTCTTTTGGATGTCTAATCCACTGATTAACATTGATGAGATGAGCTGAAAGAGTCAGACAACTATTCAGTCTGATGGAATTTAAAATGCAAACTTACGTATCAGTTCAGTTCAGTTCAGTTGCTTAGTCGTGTCCGACTCTTTGCGACCCCATGAACTGCAGCCTGCTAGGCCTCCCTTTCCATCACCAACTCCTGGAGTCTACCCAAACTCATGTCCATTGAGTCAGTGATGCCATCCAACCATCTTATCCTCTGTTGTCCCCTTCTCCTCCTGCCTTCAATCTTTCCCAACATCAGGATCTTTTCAAATGAGTCAGCTCTTCGCATCAGATGGCCAAAATACTGGAGTTTCAGCTTCAACATCAGTCCTTCCAGTGAACACCCATTCCCTTAGGATGGACTGGTTGGATCTCCTTGCAGTCCAAGGATAGTCAAGAGTCTTCTCCAACACCACAGTTCAAAAGCATCAATTCTTCGGCACTCAGTTCTCAATAGTCCAAATCTCACATTCATACATGACCACTGGAAAAACCATAGCCTTGACTAGACAAACCTTTGTTGACAAAGTAATGTCTCTGCTTTTTAATATGCTGTCTAGATTGGTCATAACTTTCCTTCCAAGGAGTAAGTGTCTTTTAATTTCATGGTTGCAGTCATCATCTGCAGTAATTTTAATCACAAGTTATTACTTTTGATATATGGTATAATTTATAGGTTATAGATATTAAAGAACTCATATTTATTTATGGTTTCTGCACATATCCATGACTTTAGAAGGAATAGTGGTATATGTTTTGTTTTCTATTAAGTGAAATGGCTCTAAACTGTTAATTCTGTAACTCTTCATACAACTTGGTAAAAAGGAAAAATTAAAGAACTAGGTGTTTCTGTATAGAGTTGGGGCTGTGTACTTTATAGACTGGAGAAGGAAATGGCAACCCATTCCAGTATTCTTGCCTGGAAAACCCCATGGACAGAGGAGCCTGGTGGGCTACAGTCCATGGGGTCGCAAAGAGTCGCACACAACTTAGTGACTGAATGACAATAACAACTTTATAGGAAGGTGGGGAGATATAAGGAGTAGGTAGGGCTCTGAAGGAATAGTGAAACATTTAGGTTTGGATTCAGCTAGGAGTATTTCACTGGATTTCCAGTGGCAGATGGGTTACAGCCAATATGGGCTGCTTTCACAGAGGTGTTGGAAAAGTAGCTCTCCTCTCTTTGACCAGGTGAGAGTTTTGAAAGTCTTGTCATTGTAGCAAGTCTTGCTTGCACAACCCCATCGTCCAAATCTATTATGATTCTGTAGTACACTTCCCAGATAAAATGTCATTTCCTAACTTTTCATTGTATTTCATGCTCACATTCCCACTTTAAAATTTGCTGGTGGAGATTTTGATATACTCCTCCTCGGTGTAATTAATATTACTAAATTTGAGCATGAAGGAAAATTGATAACCATTAAGGTGATCTCCTGGCTCTTTTCATTCCTAGACAACATTAACATGTTTAAATCTGAGATATATCAAGTTGTAGTTCATGAAAGTTTCTTAAACTAAGAGTATCTTATTTAACAAACTTTCTGCTTTGGTTATTTCTAATGAAATAAATAATTAAAAATAAAAGCATACATGTTTGAAGTTCTATATTAGGGTTTCCCTGGTGGCTCAGATGGTAAAGAATCTGCTTAGAATGTGGGTGACCCAGGTTTGATCCCTGGGTTGGGAAGATCTACTGGAGAAGGAAATGGCAACCCACTCCAGTATTCTTGCCTGGAGAATTCCATGGACAAAGCAGCCAGGCAGGCTACAGTCCTTGGGGTCCCAAAGAGTCGGACATGACTAAGCATGACTAACACACACACATTAGTGGCTCAAAGGTAAAGAATTTGCCTGCCAGTCCAGGAGACACAGGTGGTGCGGGTTCAATTCCTGGGTGGGGAAGATCCCCTGGAGGAGGATATGGCAACCCATCCAGTATTCTTGCCTGGAATAAGAATACCCAATCCAGTATTCTTGCCTGGAAAGTCCCACAGACAGAAGAGCTTGGTGGACAGCACACACATTATGCTGTCTCACGATTTCTATTTCAGAGCATTTTACCTGTTTTATTCTATATTAATTTTAAATAATAGACCCAGTACTATATTTGCTTTAAAATGAGTTTAGAAAGCTAATGGACTCTCCACAGTATTTTCTATTACTGTGGAATGACTAAATAGGAAATACATGTAATAGTGATTGATTTAACCAAAATTACACTGGTGGAGTTGATTTGATCTCATGGAACCTTTAGAGGTACTGTACTTTTAAAATGAAGAAAACTAGCCATCACTGTCTTTAACAGAATGATTGAATACCTGGTAGGAGTCAACAATCTCACATTTGTATATTTCTTGATGTGATGCAGTAAGAAATACACATCGCCTCTGTGTTATTTTTGCCAAAACTATTTAATATCTGGGAAGTGTTACAAATCCATATTAGATTTGAGTCGTTAGGAGACAGACAAATCCAGAGTGTAGGACTTAAGATAAAACAGCTGCCTAAACTTTTTCAACATCATAAAAAACAAACAACAATGAATGAGACAGAGTGACTATTTTAGCATATATTAAAGAGACAGAAAAGGTATAGTAACGAAATACAATGTCTAAATCTTGACTGGATCCTGGAGAGAAAAAGAAAACTGTGAAAGATACTTTTCAGACAAATTGGAAGTTTGCATATGAACTGTATATTAGATATTATTGAATTAATGTTAACTTTCTAAGATACCATAATGGTATTGTGATCAAATAGAATTAGGAGGAGTGTCTTTAATCTCAGGCAATGGATAGTTGGATATTTAAAGGTGAACTGTTACGATGTCTGCAATTTATTTTTAAATGATTCAGAAAAAAAGTGTGGGTATAAATAGAGAAGAAAGCAAATGTGGCAAAGTGATTGTAATTGGTAAATGCAGTTGAAGATGGAGGTATTTATTATTCTATTCTTTCAACTTCTCTGTGGGCTTACAATTTTTTCAAAATTAAAAGTTAGGGAAAAAATAAAAAACAGAAAAGCAGTAATAGTTTTCCAAACATTTATACTCCATGGGCTTTATTTTCATCTAATCTCTTGATGAATCTATTTTATTTTTTCACTTTCAGGTTTTTAATCAATATTTTTTTTGTAGTGACTATCATTTAAAAAATCATAGACTTTATGATAAAATGACTTATAAACACAACTTGCTCTTTTTTAAAAACTTTTAATCTCTGTTTAGAATCCATTTACCGACGAGGTGCACGCCGCTGGAGAAAGCTTTACTGTGCAAATGGACACACTTTTCAAGCCAAGCGTTTCAACAGGGTAAACCTTAGTTTGCTGAATGTTGATAATTTGAGAAATCTGTTTTTTTCCTCTCTACTGTTATTCCCTTCTAAAGGAGTAAGTAAAGAGTTAGTTGCTCAGTCACGTCCGATTCTTTGCAACCCCATGGACTGTTGCCCGCCAGGGTCCTCTGTCCATGGAATTCTCCAGGCAAGAACACTGGCGTGGGTTGCCATTCCCTTCTCCAGGGGATCTTCCCGACCCAGGGATTGAACCTGGGTCTCCTGTACTGCAGGAAGATTCTTTCCTGTTTGAGTCACCAGTAGGGTGACTATAATTCCTGTAATTCCTATAATTCCCAGTTTGCCCAGTGTAGTACATTTGCTATCTTGAAGTAATTTTTAATAGCATCTCTTGACTCTTAAAAATGGTCCAGATTGAACAATTAGTTATGTGATTACCATAGCTATAAGAAAACTGGATATTTTGAATATAATTCAAGATAGCTAGAAAATAAGCAAGGTTTAGTTTGCAAACCATTTACTGTTGGTTTTTCCTTTAGTTTTCTCTGTTTCATAGAATGATCATTGCAGACATTACCTAGTTTATACCCTGTACCACACACTCTTCTGAATGCTTGACATGTGCTGCTTCGCTCCACCTAAGGGCTCTTGAGTTCTGCAACCAGGGATCAAACCCGTGCCCCCTGCAGTGGAAGCAGAGTCTTAACCACTGGATCACCAGGGGAGTCCCTATTTTCCATTTTAGAGATGAAGAAACTGAGGTGCAAAATAGTCAAATAACTTGCCCAAGATAACCCAGCTGGTAAGTGACAGAGCCAAGGTTTAAAAGCAGTCTCTCTCCAGAAGTCCATGTTTTTAACTACTCTTGACAACTACAAATATATGGATTCCATTTCCATTCTAACTGTGCTGAGTTCTCAGTTCATTAATGTAATAGAAGCCACCACCTGAGGTTTCCAAATTGCTATTCCCAGTGACACTGATATTTAAAAAGTTTTGAAGTGAAAAGTCACTTTAGGTGTTGCTGCAGAAGACATGTTTGACCTCTGAACAGTCCGGAAGGTCTATGTTTGCTTGAGAGTCCTTGCACAGGTTTTCTGCCATGTTTTTCAAGTTTAATTCACTTTTCCTATTTTCATTACTTTGAACTTAATTATGTGAAGACTGAAAATCCATGGACTTAGGAAACATCATGGTTAAAAATTTCACCATGTCTCTTTAAAACAAGTTCTGCTAGAACGAATAATTTCACAATATGTATGGAAATACAAAAAACCTCAAATAGCCAAAGTAATCCTGAGAAAGAAGAATGGAACTGGAGGAATCAATCTGCCTGACTTCAGACTATACTACAAAGCCACAGTCATCAAGACAGTATGGTACTGGCACAAAGACAGAAATATAGATCAATGGAACAGAATAGAAAGCCCAGAGATAAATCCACGAACCTATGGTCACCTTATCTTTGACAAAGGAGGCAAGGATATACAATGGAAAAAAGACAACCTCTTTAACAAGTGGTGCTGGGAAAACTGGTCAACCACCTGTAAAAGAATGAAACTAGAACACTTTCTAACACCATACACAAAAATAAACTCAAAATGGATTAAAGATCTAAATGTAAGACCAGAAACTATAAAACTCCTAGAGGAGAACATAGGCAAAACACTCTCTGACATAAATCACAGCAGGATCCTCTATGACCCACATCCCAGAATTTTAGAAATAAAAGCAAAAATAAACAAATGGGACCTAATGAAACTTAAAAGCTTTTGCACAACAAAGGAAACTATAAGCAAGGTGAAAAGACAGCCCTCAGATTGGGAGAAAATAATAGCAAACGAAGCAACAGACAAAGGATTAATCTCAAAAATATACAAGCAACTCCTCCAGCTCAACTCCAGAAAAATAAATGACCCAATCAAAAAATGGGCCAAAGAACTAAACAGACATTTCTCCAAGGAAGACATACAGATGGCTAACAAACACATGAAAAGATGCTCAACATCACTCATTATCAGAGAAATGCAAATCAAAACCACAATGAGGTACCATTACACACCAGTCAGGATGGCTGCTATCCAAAAGTCTACAAGCAATAAATGCTGGAGAGGGTGTGGAGAAAAGGGAACCCTCTTACACTGTTGGTGGGAATGCAAATTAGTACAGCCACTATGGAAAACAGTGTGGAGATTTCTTAAAAAGCTGGAAATAGAACTGCCATATGACCCAGCAATCCCACTTCTGGGCATACACACCGAGGAAACCAGATCTGAAAGAGACACGTGCACCCCAATGTTCATCGCAGCACTGTTTATAATAGCCAGGACATGGAAGCAACCTAGATGCCCATCAGCAGACGAATGGATGAGGAAGCTGTGGTACATATACACCATGGAATATTACTCAGCCATTAAAAAGAATTCATTTGAATCAGTTCTAATGAGATGGATGAAACTGGAGCCCATTATACAGAGCGAAGTAAGCCAGAAAGATAAAGACCATTACAGTATACTAACACATATATATGGAATTTAGAAAGATGGTAATGATAACCCTATATGCAAAACAGAAAAAGAGACTCCGATGTATAGAACAGACTTGTGGACTCTGGGAGAAGGCGATGGTGGGATGTTTCAAGAGAACAGCATCGAAACACGTATATTATCTAGGGTGAAACAGATCACCAGCCCAGGTTGGGTGCATGAGACAAGTGCTCGGGCCTGGTGCACTGGGAAGACCCAGAGGGATCCGGTGGAGAGGGAGGTGGGAGGGGGGACCGGGATGGGGAATACATGTAAATCCATGGCTAATTCATTTCAATGTATGACAAAAAGCACTGCAATGATGTAAAGTAATTAGCCTCCAACTAATAAAAATAAATGAAAAGAAAAAATAAAAAATAAAAAATAAAACAAGTTCTGTTTTCTGTTTATTTCCTGTGACCATCATAGCTTTAAGTTGTGTATGATGAAGGAATTTGAGTTAGAGAAGAAAACTACTTATTTCACTGTTCTATGAGCAAACTGTTGGGAAAGTTTATGATGTGCTTTTTGTTAATAAAAAAAAAAATACTGTTGAATTACTCTCTCCAGCGTGCGCACTGCGCCATCTGCACTGACCGGATTTGGGGACTTGGACGTCAAGGATATAAGTGCATCAACTGCAAGCTCCTGGTGCATAAGAAGTGCCACAAACTTGTCACCATTGAATGTGGGCGGCATTCTTTGCCACCGGTAAGACACCGTTGTCTAATTTTTCTCTGATAGAGCATATTTGATAACTCTGCTAGAACAGAAGACTAAAACAGGGGAATGTTAAGAGATCAAAGCTCGACAGTGTTTTTACAGAATGTGACTAGGAGCACTTTAGGAGTCCAGTTAACATATTGTGAATTTGGAATTAGATTACGACAAATTTGTTTGTAGGATGTGGTTAACTTCTTTGTTTGACCTGCTGTAAAATCCTTTAGTCTAAATTAGAAAAATGTAAGGAGAATCATTTAAAAGCTATATTTCTCTTCTTTTAGCAACTCTTCTAAGCTCCCGTTATTGTAGCATCTGTACTAAGCAGAGATCAGGTGAGAAAAGTCAGAGGCTTCCTGTTTGCTATGTGAAGTGTGAGATAATGGGGGAGCTTTTGCACTTAAAATTTTTATTTTTCACTTTCTATTTTAAATGTGAAATTAAGACGTGTTCGTCATAGAAAAAAAGAGAATAAAAATGAATTTAAAAAATTAAATAAATATCCTCCATTAAATCTACTATGTAAAGGTAATGATCATTTGGTGTATATTCTTCCAGAACTATGCAAATTTATATGCATAAAGATTTAAAATCCTTCTATATTAGAAAATTTGTAAACATATATAAACCCTGATGGAGGAGTATAATGAACATTCATATATCGATTATCCGGCTCCAACAGTTACCACCTCACGACCAATCTCTGCCCCTACCCATTTAGCCTGCCCTCATCCTATAGTATTTTGAAACAAATTCCTCTTTTTGCTCTGCATGTGCACTTCCTGGACTACTGGATTCTTCAGCCTGGATCCACCAGGCGGGTGTCAGCGGGCAGTGAAGTTGTCAAATGTCCATCCAGCCAATGTTCAAAATTTTGGTTGTCACATAAATGTTGTAATTGTGTTTTCATAATTTTCATTATGAGTCAGGATCTAAATTAAATTCATATTTACAATTAATTGATACATCTAAGATATTTTTAAATTTACTGATTCTTCCCTCTCTTTTTTCCTTACAGTTTAATTGTAGAAGAAATTGTGTTATCATTTAAAGTGTTTCAGAATCTTTCTCTTGCTTCTTCATGGTTATATTTAAAACGTTCTCCTGTCCTCTTTGTTTTCTGTTTGTTACAGTTGAATGTAAGAGGTTTGATTAGATTCTGATTTTTTTGTGTGTGTGAGTTGTTTTGAGATTACTTCATAGAAGGTGGTGTGTTTATCCATCAGAAAGCGTATAATGCTTTTATGTCTTGTTCTTTTACACACTTTTTAACAAAAATAAGACTTTTTGTTTACTGTTTTGTAACCCATTTTTCTTGCTGAACAATATATTTTGTTCATATTTCTATACCTACATCTTCATCATTTTTTAGCATAATTTTTTTGTGTCTTTACCATAATTTATTCAACCTGTTCCCCATGATTGAACATTTGAGTTGTTCTGAATTTTCCTATAAGGGAAATTATAGTGAATTTCCTGGTAAATAAATCTTATTATTTCCTTAAGGATGCAGAAGTAGAATTACTGGATTAAAAGACGAGCATTTTTAAAAAGATCTGCATTTGTCTAAGTTATCTTTTAAACAGGGGTCCCCAGGCTCCTAATGCCTGATGATCTGAGGTGGAGCTGATGCAATATTAATAGAAATAAAGTGCACAATAAATGTAACGAGCTTGAATCATCCTGAAACCCTCACACACTGAGTCTGTGAAAAAATTGTATTCCACAAAATCAGTCCCTGGTGCCAAAAAGGTTGGGGACCACTGTTTTAAAATGATTGTAACATATTTATTCTTAGTACCCACTCTGGACATTGTGAAAGTAGGTTTTAACTGGTAGCTCATTAGTAGTAGCATTATTTAGCAAGTTCATATAAGTTTACAAATGGGTTTATGGTTAGAGAGGTTGAAAGCCAATCTTAACAAGCAGCAGAAGACCAGAAATTGTGAAAATAATGTATAGATTACTGATGTATTCTTCAGTATTCTTAGTCAGTGAAGTGACTTGTGTAAGTTCATAAATGCAGAAGGCTTTAAAAGGGACAGGGCTAGTGATTATATTGTTATTTTAGGATGTGTGCTAAACACATTGAAAATCTAATGGGCTTATTTTTAAGGCAACCTTAAAATTATAACTCTGTAACTAATGCTGCTTCTCAAGTTTACCCTCTCTTGCTCTTATTCATTCAATTTGGGTCCAGAATTGAATAAGTAACATTTTGATTTGAATTAGCATTCACTCAATATGACAGCAAATTTGGAAAACTCAGCAGTGGACACAGGACTGGAAAAGGTCAGTTTTCATTCCAATCCCTAAGAAAGGCAATCCCAAAGAATGCTCAAACTACTGCATAATTGTACTCGTCTCACACACTAGTAAAGTAATGCTCAAAATTCCCCAAGCCAGGCTTCAGCAATACGTGAACCATGAACTTCCAGATGTTCAAGCTGGTTTTAGAAAAGGCAGGGGAACCAGACATCAGATTGCCAACATCCGCTGGATCATCAAAAAAGCAAGAGAGTTCCAGAAAAACATCTATTTCTGCTTTATTGACTATGCCAAAGCCTTTGACTGTGTGGATCACAATAAACTGTGGAAAATTCTGAAAGGTAAAAAAAAAACTCTGAAAGAGATGGGAATACCAGACCACCTGACCTGCCTCTTGAGAAACCTGTATGCAGGTCAGGAAGCAACAGTTAGAACTGGACATGGAACGACAGACTGGTTCCAAATAGGAAAAGGAGTACGTCAAGGCTGTATATTGTCACCCTGCTTATTTAATTTCTATGCAGAGTACATCATGAGAAACGCTGGGCTGGAAGAAGCACAAGCTGGAATCAAGATTGCCAGGAGAAATAGCAATAACCTCAGATATGCAGATGACACCACCCTTTTGGCAGAACATGAAGAGGAACTAAAAAGCCTCTTGATGACAGTGAAAGAGGAGAGTGAAAAAGTTGGCTTAAAGCTCAACATTCAGAAAACATCTGGTCCCATCACTTCATGGGAAATAGATGGGGAGACAGTGGATACAGTGTCAGACTTTATTTTTTTGGGCTGCAAAATCACTGCAGATGGTGATTGCAGCCATGAAATTAAAAGACGCTTACTCCTTGGAAGAAAAGTTATGACCAACCTAGATAGAATATTTAAAAGCAGAGACATTACTTTGCCAACAAAAGTTCATCTGGTCAAGGCTATGGTTTCTCCAGTGGTCATGTATGGATGTGAGAGTTGGACTGTGAAGAAAGCTAAACGCTGAAAAATTGATGGTTTTGAACTGTGGTGTTGGAGAAAACTCTTGAGAGTCCCTTGGACTGCAAGGAGATCCAACCAGTCCATCCTAAAGGAGATCAGTCCTGGGTGTTCATTGGAAGGACTGATGCTGAAGCTGAAACTCCAGTACTTTGGCCACCTCATGTGAAGAGTTGACTCATTGGAAAAGACCCTGATGCTGGGAGGGATTGGGGACAGGAGGAGAAGGGGACGGCAGAGGATGAGATGGCTGGATGGCATTACCGACTCGATGGACATGGGTTTGAGTAAACTCTGGGAGTTTGTGATGGACAGGGAGGCCTGATGTGCTGCGATTCATGGGGTCGCAGAGAGTCGGACACGACTGAGCGACTGAACTGAACTGAGCATTGTTCCTGAGGTGGTTGGCAGTTAGTTTCTTGGAAGGTGTTTCTTTTCCTTTTGTGGGTTGCTGACTCCTTTGAGAATCTTCAGGAAAAAATGGGAAACCCATGAATCTTTACATATAATTTCAAGAGGTTCATTGAAAATGAAATAACTTTATACTAACACTCCTTTTGCCAGACTTAAAGTGAGTATGTGAAGCTCAAAGGAGGAATAGATGGTGTAGAAGAGAAATAAATCAGAGTATATAGCAGTTTAGTTGGATGTCTAATTGATGGTCTGAAATTAATTTTGTTTTTTCTGCGATCTGTAAAATGTGACTGACATTACCTCAATGATAGGAATGTTGTATTGTTTCATGTAATAAAATTAAAAATAAATTGTATATAGTAATATAATCCTTACTAAGTTACATTTCAAATTTAAATTTTAATATGCTGTGTCTCATCAAAATCATATTGTTTCTGGACTTATGGAAGTATTGATATTTAAAAAGAGTCCACTAAGGTACTGTGTCTTTGGAAATGATTGTAGGAACCAATGATGCCCATGGACCAGTCATCCATGCACTCAGACCATGCACAGACAGGTAAGAATGATACTGGCACAAACCATTGCTCATTAACAAAGTGTCACTTAAAGACTTCTTTATGTGAATCTTTCACCTAAATGTAAAGACATTTATATTCTTCCCAAATAAAAGCTTAGTAACCATATTTTGGGGATTTAACATCAATCACAGTATTTAACATATATGTTTGGCATTTTTAAAAGACAACTATGTAAACTGCAACAAATGACTGTTTTCTTTAATTCAGATAAATTTCTTTTGAGACCTCTTTATATTACCAAATCATTTTTTCAATAATGAAGACATACTGATTTTGTGGACTGTTGACTCTATTCAAGTGACATTTTTAAATAAAACTCTATTATGAGATGAAGAAATGATGTAAAAGATACAGAGATGCTGTATAGAAAATTCAGAAAAGATCATGTGAGTTCAAATGTCTAGTAGATACAAAACCTTCAGTATGTCTCTGAGAAATTTGGAGAGCAATTACATGGGACATGGCAGCCTGATCTGGGGTGAATCAAGAAAAAGGGACTTTTTCTAGAAGGACAGAATGTGGCATCTTCTTCATGGAAGAAGCTAGTTATATGAAATGTAGGCTTTTTTGGCCCCAGCTGCTTTAAGGAATAGAAACCTAGAGTCCAATCTAATCCAAACTAGAGACCCTCCATCTCTTATGTCTCAGTCATATTAATATAATTCATTAGGGTTTATAAGGTTACCCTTTTAGAAGGAATTTGTAAAGAAGAAAAATATATTTTAAAATAGCAAAAGTGTTTGCTCAGATCAGTAGTGGCTATTGATTGGTTCGTTCTCTTTACCCTCAGTAGAGATTAGAATTTAACTGATATTTATGTATAATTTGTTATTAATAGGACAGATACTCAGTTTTAAATGATGAACAATTATTGAAAAATAAAAACTAAGAAAAATTAAATGAGAAAATTTTGTGTAACTTAGTTAATGGTGTACTATGTTTTTCTTCCTTTTTTTTTTTAAATGTTTGGGATTGGGTTTTTAGTAATTCCATATAATCCTGCAAGTCATGAGAGTTTGGACCAAGTTGGTGAAGAAAAGGAGGTAAGATAATTAGTCTTATGGTACATTATGGCATCAATTTTTTAATAACGTGACAGTTTAAAAACGTGACAGATTGACTTGCTTAAATTTTAGGTCATACTGGAAAAATGCAGGGATAATTTTTAGTGATTCTAGAGTTTTATTCTGATTTAATTTTTTAATTAAATTACTAAAATCATTTAAATAGTCTGATGTGGTGAGATAACTTATTTCATTTTAAGGTAGCATAATCTAAAAATTATAATGTGCTTAAGAATGGTGTTTGAAAATACTTGGTAGTATTGTATAAAATCTCGATCCTTCCATTTTACAGACTAATGGTTTATTTAAAGTATAAATAATTAAACATCTTAACTGCCCATCTTTTTTCTGACTGTTAAACAGTTTATCAGTTTTTTAAACAGTTTAATTTAAAATGTTGAATTAAAATGATAACCAATTTTTTTATAACCAATTTTTTTAAAAAAGCTTATGGTAAGATTTAGCATGCCTCACATGGTTTACTCCCACTTTGACTTCTGAGAAACAGCCTTTTTTAATCTTTTCTAGTTATGTCCACAATGTGTTTATCCCTCTCTTTTGCAGGTTTTTCAACTTTATATACTTCTGGCCATGAAAGGTTTAAACTAGTATACTGTGTTGTGCTGTGCTAAGTCGCCTCAGTTGTGTCCTGCTCTTTGCGACCCTATGAACTGTAGCCCACCTGTCTCCTCTGTCCTTGAGAGTCTCCAGGCAAGAATCCTGGAGTGGGGTGCCATGCCCCTCCTCCAGAGGATCTTCCCCACCTAGGGATCAAACCCACGTCTCTTACATCTCCTGCATTGGCAGGCAAGTTCTTTACCACTAGCGCCCAAACTAGTATACTACCTCCTCCTTTTCTCTTTCCATTGTTTGATAAGTGTATTATGTTTTACTCTGGGTTGCCCTTTTATTATGGAAAATGTCAAATATCAATAAAAGTAAACAGAATACTATAACAACCCCCTGTGTCCATTACCCAGTTAAAACAATTGTCTGTACATGTTTTGTCTACCAGCTTCTCTCACTCCCTTTGGCTTAGATGGTAAAGAATCTGCCTGAAATGCAGGAGACCCAGGTTCAATCCTGGGTCAGGAAGAGCCCCTGAAGAAGGGAATGGCAACCCACTCCAGTATTCCTGGGCTTCTCTGATGGCTCAGACAGTAAAGAATCTGCCTGCAGTGGGGGAAACCTGGGTTCCATCCCTGGGTTGGGAAGATCCCCTGGAGAAGGGAACAGCTACCCACTCCAGTATTCTGGCCTGGAGAATTTCATGGACAGAGGCGCCTGGCAGGCTATAGTCCATGGAATCACAAAGAGTTGGACACAACTAAGCGACTTTCACTTCCCTCACTCCTGTACTGTTTTGAAGCACATCTGTTGGTTACCTATTTAATCTCCTATCTCAGTTTCTTGTATCTGTTTTAGTTTGACATTCTTTTGCTATTTTATTATTGGTTGTTCTAGGGATTGCAGCTTATACCCTTAACTTACTTAAATTCAATACAAATTATTAATATGTTTACCATTTTCCAGGATATGCAAGGACCTTAGGGCACTTTCAATTCACTCATGCTCACTTCTTGCCTTTAGTGATCTTCTGTCCTATTTTAAATTTCTGCATGTGTGTGTTAGTGTTTTTGAACAGTCAGTCCTTACTTTGGTTTATCCACATCTTATTCTTTTTGTTCTGTGCCCTTCCTGTGTGTCTGCTTCCATATGAGATCATCTTTCTTCCTGAAAAACTCAGTGTTTCCTTTAGTGAGAACAACTAATGATGGATTTCATTAGTTTTTGTTTTTCTGAAAATGTGTTTATTTCACTTTCATTTTGAAGGCTATTTTTACAGGCTTTAGGATTGTAGATCATCGGGGGTGAGGGGGGCTTCAGCCCTTTAAAAGGTGGCATTCCATTGTTTTCTGGCTTCTGTCATTTCATTCAGACTTATTATTGTTTATGTGAAGAAACTGTTACCTTCACTCCATTTGATTCTCTTTTATGGTTTCCTATTAACCATACTTAGTCTATGCATTGCTTTATCTTTTTTACCATTTTCTGCATTCTTAATCTGCCGTAATCTGGTTTCTTTCACTCCTTTTTATTTATCCTTGTTTCCCCAGTCAGATTATTATTTCTACATTTTCTTTTGAATCATCATTCTCCTTCAGTTTTCATAACACTCCCCCCGCCACCCCCATTGGTGCTTACTAGTTTATCTTTCTGAAAAGTTGCTCCTTGCTTTTGTTTATACTCTTCACTTCAGAGAATTCAGACTTAATTCTCATGGGTACATCTATTAGTATATGCTGAGAATTTTGCAGGCATTTAATAAAAGATTATCTTTAGTCTTCTCTGTGAAGTATCAGAAGCCTCAGTTTCTGGTTGTGAATGAATTAAGGGCTGACTGTCATTCCAAAGGAGCCTTGATATTGTGTAAATAAGAATGTTTTACATTAGCTGAGCTGCCTCATGCTTGCTTTCTGCCTGTAGTTTTAACTCAGCTTTCATACATTAAGCTCCTGGCAGACTCATCTTGATGTCTCACTGTAACTTCTAACTTTAGTGTGAAAAACTGAACTCATTATCTCATCATCTCTGCCAATCTTATCCTGTGCTCACACTTTCTTTTTCTATCAGTGATACCTCCAATCTCCTGGTCACCAAAGTTAGTGTCTTTTTTTTTTTTAATGCTTGTATCTTCATTGCCTCCATATCCCAAAGTTATCAGATTCTTTTAAAGACATCTTTTAAAGATTCTCAGGTTTCATCTTCTTCACTCCAAACACCACCCCTCTGACCTCAACTCATGAATTTATCCTATCTCTTAAGGAGTGCAATTGTATCATTTGGGTTGATGTAAGAAAATGATTAAGAATTTAAATCAGAAAATATTTTAAAATCTTACAGGTGTAACTCGGTGTTAGAAGTATATTGTGTTATGCAAAATACTTCAGGTATAGCTCTTTGATATAAATGTTCTCAACAGGCAATGAACACCAGGGAAAGTGGCAAGGCTTCTTCCAGTTTAGGTCTTCAGGATTTTGATTTGCTCCGAGTAATAGGAAGAGGAAGTTATGCTAAAGTACTGTTGGTGCGACTGAAAAAAACAGATCGTATTTACGCAATGAAAGTTGTGAAAAAAGAGCTTGTCAATGATGATGAGGTAAGCACAATGATGTTTTATTACCTCTAAACTATTACATTGGCTTAAGTGGATGATATCAGAAATAATGTCATTGTTTGTGCCTTATTGTTTCTGTCTGCTTTTCTAAATACATGCTTCAGACTGCTTAATATATAAGGTATATTGAAAGTTGTCTGATGATTATTAGATTTTTAAAGAATAAACATCAAACCATATTATTATCAAGGGAAACTACTTGAGCTTTGTAAAAGTTTGCTAGACTCTAATAATATTGAAAGATTTGCTGGGTAGTAGTTTCTCTTTGTATATAAATTATTTCATGATTATCAATGCTTTTGATGTTTAGCCTAGTTAGTCAATAATTGCATTTATGGTAATGGAATTACTAAGAACAAATTTGTCATAGTTTTGATACTGTCATTCTAGTTTGACATAAATTTCTTTCATATTTTAAAATAGGATATTGACTGGGTACAGACAGAGAAGCATGTTTTTGAACAGGCGTCCAATCATCCTTTTCTAGTTGGGCTGCATTCTTGCTTTCAGACAGAAAGCAGGTAAGATTGAAAGATAATGGAATGATTCCTGGGTTTGACACAATAAGAACATTTTGGTATATTATACAATAAGAACCTTTTTACAGTAATTCCTGAAGTGGAAATCCCATGGAGACACAACAGTACTGTGCTTGTAATTGCCTGCAACTCCTGTTGGATCAGCATTAGGAAATTACCTGCTTTACACTAAAAAAAAAAAAGTCATAATATGGCAGGAGAAAGTAGAAATCCAACCTTTTAAATATCACCAAAATTCTAGTTTTAGGACTTAAAACTTCCTAGAGTTTAATTAGGTGGTAAGTCCTAACTTCTTTCACCTTAAGTGACAATTGGAAATGACTTATATTGCACATTCTAAAATTGGGGCGGGAGTGAGAGTTCTGGATTGCAAGTGGTACTACTTGAGAATGAAAGTAGAAAGTTACAGAATTATTATCCTTCTGGCTTACTTTCTTGTCTTCTGTGGTTAAACAGCTTTCTACTGCAGTCACCCTTTGTCTCCACCAAATTCCTGGAATGTTTGTTAAGGGTGAATCTTGTAGAATGTTCTCTGTACTCTGGCTGGTCTCTGTAATGTTTAAACTGCAAAAGTGACACAGCCTTATTTTAGATCTTGGTCTCTTGTGTTCTCTCCTGTGTTTTAGATTGTTCTTTGTTATAGAGTATGTTAATGGAGGAGATTTAATGTTTCATATGCAACGACAAAGAAAACTTCCCGAAGAGCATGCCAGGTAAGTTTTGTTTTTATCATTTGTTTGTGTTGGATTTTGGTAGAAGGAGTTCTGGGACTTTTTGTATGCCAGTGGTTGAAAACAGTAGATAAATCATTTATTTCAATTCCAACTAATTCTTTGTAAATCATGTAGAGCCTGAGCTAAAAGTGAATTTATATTGTAATATTACATATATACATTATATATTACATATATAATAATATAATTATAGGCAGTTGAGAAGTATAAACAGTATTCAAGGGGAAACCTTTAGTCTGCTAAGCTCAGTTATTTTCAAATATTTTGTCTATTCAGTATCAGCCGCTGAAATAATTAATGAATTTATAAACACATATTAATCTTATTATGTATGCAGTGATCTCTGACAGTTTTTCATTAGAAGATGATTGTTGGGACTTCCCTGGTGGTCCAGTGGTTAAGACTCTGCACCTTCAATGCAGGGGACATTGGGTTCAATCCCTGTCAGGGAACTAAGATCCCTCTGGCATGCCTCACAGCACAGCCAATAAAATGAAATAAAATAGAATAAAGGTTATTGTTCATATATCCTTGAGAGTAATTAAACAATTCCTCTTAACCTATGATGTAAATCTGACTGTTCTTCCATAGTTATAGTTTCTGAATTATTCTGCCTTTGGTATCCCCCACTCTGATTCCATATATGTTGATTAATAAGGGAAAAGAGTATTAAATATCATTTGTATAGTGCCCTTAATTTGATATTATTATATAAGATAGTAAATAGTTTTTTGAGGACTTTGGTGGGGAAGGATCATGGCGTTGGATGAGAAGTTTAATCCATCAGTGCCATATTTTGTTTTGTTTTTTACTCGTAATTAGAAATAATTCTACCCTGCTGCACTTCACAAGAGTAATGCCAAAACGAAGCATGTGAGTTTGTATGTGTATTTAACAAAGGTTAGAGACTCATTTTAAAAAAATAACTTATTTAGTGGAAATCTTGCTATTCATTGATATTTCTTATCAAAAAAAGTAGTAAAAAAAAAAAGTAGCCTTCAATTTTATAGGAAGGTATAAAGTATATTAATCTATCTTGTTGTTGTTTAATTTACTGTATGTTCATTATTTATTTCAGCTTTAACAAATGGTCACCCTTCATAGCAAAGCCACAGATGATATTTTGAATTGTGGATATAGCCATTATTTGTTCTTTGTTTGTTCAGTTGGACTAAGGGAAAGTAACCTAGTTTTTATTTTATTGAAGTACCCATTCTGGTTTTATACCATCTTTGCTTTTGTAGGAACCAGATACAGGATAAGGGCTCAAGTTCCTTGTTTTTAGAATTGAGTAGCTAGAAGGTGTGTATTACACATCTCCAAACATGATTACGATAATACTCACCAAAGCAGCTTTATTCAGGTCAAAAATTTTCCTACCACCAACGAGATGGTGGCAGTTCTGAAAATGTCTTCCTGTTGTAGAATAATTTTAACTCCTCTTTTAGAATTTTGGTGTGGGTTTTATTATTTGAGTGGTCAGCTTTCAGTATTCTTTCCATTTTTAACCAATCAATGGTTCTTGGCCTTTTGGAAGGTCATTTGTCCCTTAGAGAAGTGATAAAAACTATGGAAACTATAGAAGATGTCCATACAACTTTGTATCCAGTTGTAGGAGTGTGGACATTCTGAAGTCCAGCCAAGGACCCAGATTAGGAATCCCTGCTTGAGACTTTCAAATTAAACTTTATGAAAAGTATGGCTTTAATTTAGACTGGAACTTTTATAATTGTTTGGGGCTCAGCTATTTTAAAGTGGCGCCTCAATTTGTGTTTTGGTATTATTTCTAAAAGCATTGAGAGGAAAAAAATCTTTTGACATGATTTTGATGTTCTGGTTTGCAGATGGAAGTAGGATTTAAATACCTTCCTCTAGAAACTTAACACGATTTAAAAACTTGAATCAAATGAGTTAATTTTTCATTTTATTTTAGATTTTACTCTGCAGAAATCAGTCTAGCATTAAATTATCTTCATGAACGAGGGATAATTTATAGAGATTTGAAATTGGACAACGTGTTGCTGGACTCTGAAGGACACATTAAACTCACTGACTATGGCATGTGTAAGGTGAGGGAAGTTTTTTATTGAGAAGATCAGCAGCTCAGGAAATTGTTTTGGTCAAATAACTTTATATTCAAAACTGGGGAAATAGTTGCTACTTTGTGCTAGAATGACAAAAAGTATCCTAAACAGAGACAGCTGTACTGATTTCCTATCCATTTATGAAATTCCACATTTTCTTTGAAGTTACATGTGCTATAAAAGTTCATTTCTTTTCATTGTCTATATTTTTTTATCTTGAAAGTCATGCTACTATTAAATAAAATTTGTAGGTAAAAACTGTCTACAATCCCAAACTTTAGCACAACAGCTTGCATATCATCTTCCAAGTTTTTGCCTTTTGATTGTGACTATAGTGCACTCAAGATTTTCCCAGGGAATCTAACATTTTTTCATATTTAAATATCTGACATAAAGTACAATAGAGCAAACTTAAGAATTTTAGTTATTCTCAGGACACGTCCTTTGTTTCTGAGTGTTTTATTCATTTTGTAACAGTGTTTCATTTAAAAGTCCAGTCGTTTTTCAGAAAATGTGTAGGGGACTACTCTCATCAAAATAACCGAGACAGAATTTTCTTTACACAGTAAATGTGGTAGCAAGCCTGTGAATGTGTTAACTGCCTTTCCCCATTCGCCTGAAGGAAGTGCCTCTAGGGCCTGCCTCTTTTTTTTTTTTTTTAATAAATTTTTAAAAATTTATTTTTGATTGCACTGGGTCTTTGTTGCTGCTCACAGGCTTCCTCTAGTTGGGGCGAGTGGGAGCTGCTCTCTAGTTGCAGTGCACGGGCTTCTCATTGCACTGGCTTCTCTTCCTATGGCGCACAGGCTGTAGGCTCGTGGGCTCGGTAATTGTGTTGCAGGGGCTCAGATGCCCAGTGGCATATAGAATCCTCCCAGACCAGGGATCGAACCTGTATGCCCTACATTGGCAGATGGATTCTTAACCATTGGACTACCAGGACAATCCCAGCCTGGCTCTTTTTCTTTAAAGAAATTTGGGCATCCTATTTTGCCCAGAAGATATTACTAAAGACAACTTACTTGATCTTTTGTTACTCTTAATGAAAAATAATACTGGTTTGTTACATACTCTCATTCTTTCCAGAGATCCTCAATCAATTTAATCAAGATCTTTGATAAATCTCTTAGTGGTTTTTCTTTTCAGTAGTTCTTTAAATTGGTTGTTCCACTTATCTCCTTTTCTGCCGCCTCCTCCAGGAGTTGTTCGGTGTTATTAGTAGGAAATGATCCCAGGATTTGAACTTGTGTTCAGAGACCTTACCAACAGTACTTTGTCTCTTTTCCAACCTATCACATTTACACCCAGTGTTAAAAGCTTATGGGAAATAAGTCCCCTGGAAAGTGGAATGTTCCTATCTTATGACTTAAGAGTCAGTATTTAAACTTGACTAAAGCCTGACCTTAGGCAAATATTAGATGAATTTCTCTTCCTTATAATTATTCTTTGGGAAATCTAAAACACTAAGATTTTTTCCATAGTTTTTCCAGAAATGCTTTCTTTAGGTTTATTTAATTTAATTTCTTCAGTTTCTCACTAGATGCTTTTACATAAAGAATGCAGAGAATAGTGATGACTGGAGACATATGAAAACTGCAATTAACATCTTCAGAGTTATGTTTGAAATATTTTATGAATACTGATTTTTTTATTGACTGAAAACTTTAGCTATTTTATAAATTGATATGCCTCCAGCTATTTGGTATCCGCAGGAGGATTTCATAATAATGTGTATTTTATGCTATAAGTAATTTAGCTGATGGACCTACATTCAGATATCCAGTCCAAAGCTGAATGATTTAGTGCAGCTCTTTTACAGGTTAACAGACAGACTGCACCCCTTGCCTCTGACTCTTATCCTTCAAGTGCATGTCATAAAGCATCACTTATGTCAGGCCATCGCCATTAATACAAAACAACTTAAATCCCATTCATATTTCTTTGTGCAGGAAGGCCTTGTTTTACTGTGCTTCGTTGCCTTGTGCTGCACAGATACTCTGTTTTTTACAAATTGAAGGTTGTGGCAACCCTGTGTTATCAGATGATGGTTAACATTTTTTAGCGATAAAATTTAAAAAAAAATTTTATTTAAATATATTTGATTTACAATATTGTGTTTAAAGTATCTTTTAGTTAAGGTATGCATTTCGTTTTCAGACATGATGCTGTTGCACATTTAATGGATTACAGTGTAGTGTACACATAATTTTTACGTGCACTGGAAAGTCAAAAATATTCATGTGACTCAATTTATTGTGATATCTACTTTATTGTTGGGATCTGAAACCAAGCTGCAGTATCTCCATGGTATACCTAGATATAAAAATAACACATATATCCCTGTTAGGGATCTTAAAAAATCCTTGGAGTCACAATATATACTACTAAGTATTTCTTCTAGATATTTATATTAGTATTATATATAATAGTATAAAATCTGAAGAAAAATGCATACCCCATGCCAGGAATATCTCTGCAGGAATTCATAAGAACCTCATATAACAGTGGTTGTCCCTAAGAAGCTGAAACTGGATATGTCGGACAACAATGGGAAGAAGACTTGATTTTTAGTCTGTATTTTCTCCCTCTTTTTGTTTGGAATTTTGTACCATGTAATTTAACAATAGGGAAATGGTTAAATTCTAGGTACATATGTTGGAGTTGAATTTTGTAGTCATTAATAATAGGAAATCTGTAATTACATGGGAAATTACATACTTACAAAGTAAAAAAGAGCAGATGTTTAATTGTATATTTAGTATTATTCAGTTTGTATTTAGACTTTTATTGTTTTTCATTTTAATTGAGATGTGGTTGATTTACAGTATTGTATGTTTCAACTGTACATCATGATTCACAGTTTTAAAAGATTGTACTCCATTTATAGTTACAAAATGTGGACTGTATTCCCTGCGCGGTACAATATATCCTGTAGTTTATTTATTTTATACGTGGTAGTTTGTACCCCTTAATCCCCTACCTCTGCTTTGCTATTTCACTCACACCACTGGTAGCCACTCGCTTTTCCCCTATATCTGTGAGTCTGTTTTGTTGTTTTATTATATTCATTAGTTTGTTTTATTTTTAAAATTCCATGTATAAGTGATAGCATACAGTATTTGCTTTTCCGTCTGACTTATTTCACTAAACATAGAACCCTCCAAGTCCATACGTGTTGTTGTTTATGGCAAAATCTCATTCACTTTTGTGGCTGAGTAGTATTCTAGTAGTGTTTTATAAATGGTTTCCTTTGCTGTGCAAAAACTTCTAAGTTTGATTAGGTCCCATTTGTTTATTTTTGCTTTTGTTTTCTTTGGCTTAGGAGACAGATAAAAAAATATACATATTGGTACAGTATATAGCAAAGCGTGTTCTGCCTGTGTTTTCTTTTTGGAGTTTTGTGGTTTCTAATCTTAACGTTTAGGTCTTTAATCTGTTTTTATTTTGTGTATGGTAGGAAAAAATGTTCTGGTTTTATTCTTTTACATATAGCTGTCCAGTTTTCCCAAAACCACCAATTGAAGAAACTATCTTTTCTCCAATACATATTCTTGCCTTCTTTGTCATAGAATAATTAACCGTATGCTTGGTTTATTTCTGGACTTTCTGTTCCATTGATTTATATGCCTGTTTTTGTCCCAGTACCACACTGTTCAGTACTTTAGCTTTGTAGTGTAATCTAAAGTCAGGTAACATGTTTCCCCCAGCTCTGTTCTTCTTTCTCAAAATTGTTTTGGCTATTTGGGTAGACTACCTTTCTATTGTTGATTTCTTATTTAATTTCCTTTTGATCAGAGAATAGTCTGAATGATAATAGTGCTTTGAAATATGTTGAAATTTCCTTTATGCCTTGTATTTGGTCAGTATCCCACATGTACTTTAAAAAGGATATATAATCTCTATTTTGCATGCAAGAAGTCTCTGTCTCCCTCCTTTTCACACACACACACACACACACACACACACACACACACATATATATATTCTATTTGTGTATATTCTATACATATTTTAAACTTTAGCTTTTGTTCAAATCTCCCTCTGCTTACTAATTTTTTGTATGTATGATCTTTCTTTCTTTTTTTTTTTTTAAGTATATATAGATGTTTTAAAAATTACCTGTCATGATCGGGGATTGTACTATCAGTCTGGGCTGCTATAACAGCGTACCATAGGTTCAGTTCAGTTCAGTCACTCAGTCATGTTTGACTCTTTGTGACCCCATGAACCACAGCATACCAGGCCTCCCTGTCCATCACCAACTCCCGGAGTCCACCCAAATCCATGTCCATTGAGTCGATCTTCTGTCATCCCCTTCTCCTCCTGTTCTCAATCTTTCGCAGCATCAGGGTCTTTTCAGATGAGTCAGCTCTTCACATCAGGTGGCCAAAGTACTGGAGTTTCAGCTTCAACATCAGTCCTTCCAATGAACACCCAGGACTGATCTCCTTTAGGATGGACTGGTTGGATCTCCTTGCAGTCCAAGGGACTTTCAAAAGCCTTCTCCAACACCACAGTTCAAAAGCATCAATTCTTCAGCACTCAGCTTTCTTTATAGTCCAACTCTCACATCCATACATGACCACTGGAAAAACCAGAGCCTTGACTAGAGGGATCTTTGTTGACAAAGTAATGTCTCTGCTTTTTAATATGCTATCTAGGTTGGTCATAACTTTCCTTCCAAGGAGTAAGCGTATTTTAACTTCATGGGTGCAGTCACCATCTACATTGATTTTGGAGCCCAGAAAAACAAAGCCTGTTTCCACTGTTTCCCCATCTATTTGCCATGAAGTGATGGGACCAGATGCCATGATCTTAGTTTTCTAAATGTTGAACTTTAAGCCAACTTTTTCACTACTCTTTCACTTTCAACAATAGACTCTTCAACAATAGGTTCCTCTTCACTTTCTGCCATAAGGGTGGTGTCATCTGCATATCTGAGGTTATTGATATTTCTCCCAGCAATCTTGATTCCAGCTTGTACTTCCTCCAGCCCAGTATTTCTCATGATGTACTCTGCATGTAAGTTAAATAAGCAGGGTGACAATATATGGCTGTGACGTACTCCTTTTCCTATTTGGAACCAGTCTGTTGTTCCATGTCCAGTTCTAACTGTTGCTTCCTGACCTGCGTACAGGTGTCTCAAGAGGTAGGTCAGGTGGTCTGGTATTCCCATCTCTTTCAGAATTTTCCACAGTTGATTGTGATCCACATAGTCAAAGGCTTTGGCATAGTCAATAAAGCAGAAATAGATGTTTTTCTGGAACTCTCTTGCTTTTTCGATGATCCAGCAGATGTTGGCAATTTGATCTCTGGTTCCTTTGCCTTTTCTAAAACCAGCTTGAACATCTGAAAGTTCACGGTTCACGTATTGCTGAAGCCAGGCTTGGAGAATTTTAAGCATCACTTTACTAGCGTGTGAGATGAGTGCAATTGTGTGGTAGTTTGAGCATTCTTTGGCATTGCCTTTCTTTGGAATTGGAATGAAAACTGACCTTTTCCAGTCCTGTGGCCACTGCTGAGTTTTCCAAATTTGCTGGCATATTGAGTGCAGCATGTTCACAGCATCATCTTTCAGGATTCGAAATAGCTCAACTGGAATTCCATCACCTCCACTAGCTTTGTTGTTAGTGATGCTTCCTAAGGCCCACTTGACTTCACATTCCAGGATGTCTGGCTCTAGGTGAGTGATCACACCATCGTGATTATCTGGGTTGTGAAGATCTTTTTTGTACAGTTCTTCTGTGTATTCTTGCCACCTCTTAATATCTTCTGCTTCTGTTAGGTCCCTACCATTTCTGTCTTTTATTGAGCCCATCTTTGCATGAAATGTTCCCTTGGTAGCTCTAATTTTCTTGAAGAGATCTCTAGCCTTTCCCATTCTATTGTTTTCCTCTATTTCTTTGCATTGATCGTTGAGGAAGGCTTTCTTATCTCTCCTTGCTATTCTTTGGAACTCTGCATTCAAATGGGGTTAGGTGCCTTAAACAACAAACATTTATTTCTTATGGCTCTGAAGATTGCTCAGTCCAGGATCAAGATTCTGGAAGATTTTGTGTCTGAAAGTACCCTTCCTGGGTTGCAGATGACTGTCTTCCCATTGTATCCTCATATGGTGAGGAGACAGAGAGAGCTAGCTCTCTTTCTCTTATGAGAACATGAATCCCACCGTGGGGCTCCAACCTCATGACCTGATTACCTCCCCAGAGGCCCCACCTCCCAGTGCTGTCACATTAGGTTGGCAGCATGTGAGTGTCGGGGGCACATAAACATTCAGACAACAGCAGGGATTCTGAAGTCCTCCTGATGATTTTGTCCGTTTTTACTGGTTGTATTTTGAGGCTGTGTCGTTAGCTGCCCACTAGTTCATTTTAGCTTCTTGGTGGTGGTTCCATTTGTTGTGCAGTTTCTCTATTTGTGCATGTTAGTGTGTTCTACCTTAATTTTCTCTACCCTGTAGCTATTAAAATACAAAACCAATACATGTGTGACTTAGGAGCAATGACCAGAAGGGAAACAGCACAATGCCAGTAGTGGTTGTGTTAGGATGTGGGATTTAAAAGCTTTTCTTCATAAAATACGCTTCCTTTGATTCCTGTAATTTAAATTTTTATATTATAATTTTACTTGAATATAAATTATTTTAAATGCAGTTTTTATCTTAATTGAATTCTACCGTATCTAATGAGGTCAAGTTTTCTTTAAGGTATTTAGTAGCAGCCTGTGATTTTAATAATAAAAGCAACTGTGCTAGTAATATTTTATTTAAGCTCAATACAGTACCTAGAGATGCTAACCTTATATGAAAATGAAATAAAAAAGATAAATTTAAAACAAATTTTACATCTTATTATCTTCTTACCTTTTTTTTTCTTTTTAAATAAAAGGAAGGATTACGGCCAGGAGATACAACTAGCACTTTCTGTGGTACTCCTAATTACATCGCTCCTGAAATCTTAAGAGGAGAAGATTATGGTAATAATTTGGTGGTATTTTGGCCATGTGATGGAAGGGTGGTTAGATGTGATACCAATTTATAGTACACTGTAGTATTTCAGTACTAAGCTTATTAACATAAACTTTCTTAATCGTCTTAAAACCTACTAAAAACTCCAAATTCTGAGATCAGAGACAGTGGGACTTTGATAGTATTTGGGGATGCCAATTTGAATAATATTTTATTAGTGGCAAGCACTTAAGAGTACTGGCACTTTGCTAAGCAGTTTGCATATATTAACTAAATTAATCTAATCCTCTTAATAATCCTATGAGATAAGCACAATTAACTGACATTTTACAAACAAGGAAACTGGTAGACAAAAAGTTAAATAACTTGCCCAAGGTCATGTAGCAGGAAAGTGGCGGAGTTGGGATTTAATCAACCATGTAATTTCAGAATCATAAACTTCTGTAACATTGTTCAGATTTCTTGGGGTATTTCCCCTAGGAAATCTGAAAGACGGAGGAAAGATTCCCTGCTTGTCAGAAACCAGAGGTTGTGTTTATCTTAAGAAAACATTTGGCCCTTTGGGTTCTGGCCCTTTGATTTCAGCAGTTGTAAAGGAGGATGGCTGTTTCTGATAGCTGCTTGTAATCTGGTTCCAAAGTCCTTTCAGGATCTTTAATCAGGCAGCAGAAGATCAAGTTTCACACCAAGCAGGGTTATTTCAAATACAATTTAATTATGTCTTCAAAACAAAGTATTAGAGGCAGGCTCTTGAGTCTGGATTTACAAACATATTTGGTGGGACAAAGTGTACAGGATAATTGTATAATATGGCATAGAAATATTGGTCTGCAGCTTAGTGTAACCAACAAACATATTTGGGAAGAGAAACTCGTGTTTCATTTTCTATATTTTATTTTTAAACTTATCGTTTAGTTACCTCCCTTCTTTAATAAGTGAAATGTTCTTGTAATCCTTGACGCCTGCCATGATCATTCAAGTTTAGTTTTTCATTATGTTTATTTTTTTAATTATGCAGTAAAATTAATCTCAAATTACTGACATTTTTAGAATGTGGAATGGATAATTTATTGCTTTAAAATTTCATTTTGAAGGTTTCAGTGTCGACTGGTGGGCTCTTGGAGTACTAATGTTTGAGATGATGGCAGGAAGGTCTCCATTTGATATTGTTGGGAGCTCCGATAACCCTGATCAAAACACAGAGGATTATCTTTTTCAAGGTAATTTGCAGTATTTTACAGAGTCTCTGTGAATAACCCATCCTAAAGCATGAATGAAGACAGCTCTAGTTATTACTTTTGAGTAAGAAAGAGGAAGAATAATCTGGACAATATACTCCTGAACACATGGGGCTTTGAGTTTGTTTTTGTTGTTTTGATCTACTGCTTAGTTTCTGGCCCCGTTTGCCGGTTACCTTCTCATACTCAGAAACGTAACAAAGAGGTGACTTCAGATTGTACATCACAGAGGTTGGAGGAAGGATTTGTGTGGCTGGAGAGGGCAGTCTTTTCACCCGGACCACAGTGCTGAATGCATAAATCCAAGGGCGATAATGGGAAAAAGCAGAGTACTAAGGAGATAAAAAGGATCACAAGGTGAAGGGAAAAGCTCTGCAACTGGAAACACAAAGAACTGAACAGAACAGAAACAAGCAGACAAGCACAAGGACCCCGAACACACAGTCCAGAGAAGTGCAAAAATTGCCATAAAATTCTCCTTTTAATGACTAAGGCCATCACAGAAAATGAGTAGATATTTCATGTAATAGGAAATCCAGCTTGCTGTGGAAAACCTGGAAAAGCTTTTAACCTCCTTAATTAGGGGTGTGCACTTTTAAAATTAATGGGCTTCTCATACCTACACATTTGGCAAAAATTTTAAAGTCTGACAACACCAGTGCTGGTAAGGGTTGATAACAGTGCTGGTGAGAATATGAAGCAACTGGAACTCTGTGGATGGAGTGAAAATGGACATGACAGCTTCGGAAAATAACTTGGCAAAGTCTAATCCAATCAAATATAATAATACATGCCACATGTTGTACAGATAATAACCTGTTTAAACCTTTTAACTCTCCTATGAGGGCTTCCTTGGTGGCTCAGTGGTGAAGAGTCTGCCTGCCGATGCAGGAGATGCAGGTTCCATCCCTGGGTCAGGAAGATCCCCTGGAGGAGGGCATCGCAACCCACTCCAGTATTCTTGTCTGAATAATCCCATGGGTAGAGGAGCCTGGCTGCAGTCTATAGGGTCTCAAAAAAGTTGGACATGACTTAGCAACAAAATAGAAAACAACAGCAACACCTGTATGAATCAGGTATTCTTTTTATTCCAGTTTTACAGATAAGGCAACTGAGACACAGTAAGGTAGTCAAAGAATAAAACATAGGCATGTAGTGATCAAAACTGTTCAGAGTAGAGGCCTTCTCTGAGTAGGAAGGAAAGGACTAGGACTGGGAAGGTACACAAGATGCTTAGATAGTGTTTGTAATGTCTGTTTTTTCTGCTAGAATGCCTTAAATATCTTATAATAAAAATATAAGGATGAAGACCCTGTAAAAGTTAATTATAATAATGCTGTAAATTTTATCTTTCTAGTTATATTGGAAAAACAAATTCGCATACCACGTTCTTTATCTGTAAAAGCTGCAAGTGTCCTGAAGAGCTTCCTCAACAAGGTATAAATTGTATATAAAATCGTTAGTGATTTATCTCTATACAAATGGCACTGGTAAGGAGAGTTTCAGGCAACATAAAATTCCAAAACATCAAAGTGTATAGTTTTCCCATTAGATCTGGAACCTGTCTCTTCACCAAAGGGTACCTGGACAGAATGAGATCCTGAGATGTGTCATCCTTTCCATTCTGCCAGTATAGTTTACCCCTAGCTTTATATTACCTACGGTGTTTGTTTTGTTTTGTTTTTGGCTGTACTTGGTCTTCACTGTGGTGCATGGACTCTTGTATGATCGTGGCACTCAGGGGCTTCTCCTATTACGGAGCATAGGCTCCAGAGTGTGTGGGCTCATATGTGTGGTGTTTCTAATGTAAACAGAAAATACCATGTGCTCAATTAGAGAAAAACTGCATCTTTGGGGATAGCCTCAACTGTACCTCCATCTCTATTTTTTCAGTTTCCTTTAGATTATTATTATAGAATGTTTTAACTTATTGAGTACTTGGTGCAGTAGTGTTCCCTGCAGATTCTCTTATCACAACCCTATAGTTAGATAATCTTCAAAAAAAATGCTAAATGTTGTCTCTTTAAAAAATCTGAACACCATTCTGTCATTGTTTGTCACAGTTGATAGGCTATTAGATTTTTTTTTTAAATATCTTTATTTCTTTTATTTGCTTGCATGGGGTCTTAGTTACAGCATGTAGGCTCTTAGTTCCCTGACCAGGGATTGAACCCAGGACCCCTCCATTCGGAGCACAGAGTCTTAGCCACTGGACCACCAGGGAAGTCCCTAGAAAAGTTTTAGGATCTAAAATTATGACTCTGAATTATTTTTATTCATAACACTCTAACACCAAATGTGTAGGTTTTTTCCACACCACCAACCAGTTTTCCATCCTTTTACTTTTAAAAACTTGTTTAAAAATAAATGGTAGGTTAAAAAGTAGGTTGATGTGCGTTTATTTTCTGAGATAAATAAGATAATGAGTTTTAATAAAATAAGAAATTCAAGCTTGGTTTAAATGAGTATTTTATGTGAGGAAAGATTTAAACTGGAAACCTCAGCTTTAACACAGTGAAAAATGAAGGTGAGAAGTGTCAGTATGCAAAGCAGAATGCCTTTTGCCACAGAGGAAATGGGAACATTTTTTCATTCACGATAGTCGTATAATTTGCAGGCTGCTGCTCAGTCCAGTGATTCAGATAATGGTTGTATCATTGTTGCACACAAATTACGATTGTTGCTATAATTGGACACCACTTTTAAATTGATGAAGTTCGGGGGTTTGTGTGTTTTGAGTATCACTCCAGCTCGTGTCAAAGAAAGAGTTGGATGCTGCCCAAATAATTCTGCTGCTCTCTTTGTCTTCCCATTTTTCTTTAGCAAGGTGTGGTGACATCTCTCCGCTTGAGTTACAAGGATAGCTGGAGACGAGCTGTGAGGAAACCTTGCTTGTCTCAAGCATCAGATACTCCTTTTGAGTATCTAGTGTTATATTTTCTAGAAATGAAAGGTAGACCATTCTGATTTCAGACATAAAGTTATCTATATAGCAGACACAAAACACAGGTCACAAAGGTGATTTATTCTGAAGCAGAGTATTCACCCAGCTCTTGAAACATTTCCACCATAGGACCCAAAGGAACGATTGGGTTGTCATCCACAAACAGGATTTGCTGATATTCAGGGACACCCATTCTTCCGAAATGTTGATTGGGATATGGTATGTAAATTTTGATTGTTTTATATATTGTTGTTGTTGTTGTTCAGTTGCTAAGTCCTGTCCGACTTTTTGTGACTCCATGGAATGCAACCCACCAGTCTTCCCTGTTCATTGTCTCCCAGAGTTTGCTCAAACTCAACGTCCATTGAGTTGGTGATGCCACCCAATCATTTCATCCTGTGTTGTCCCCTTCTCTCAATCTCCTCAATCTTTCTCAATCTTTCCCAGCATCAGAGTCTTTTGCAGTAACTCAGCTCTTGGCATCAGGTGGCCAAAGTATTGGAGCTTCAGCATCAGTCCTTCCAGTATTAGTTTTCGTTATTTTCTTGGGCCAAAATTTATTAATGTAAAACAATACTGAAAAACCAGTGTGGAAGGAGGGAGGGAGGAGGGGATGTAAAAAAAAAAAAAGAAAGAAAAGAAAAACCAGTGTATCACAGCTTAAATAACTTAAAACCACTCTCGAAAGTGCTTTTTTAAAAAATTTATTTATATTTTAATTGAAGGATCATTGCTTTACAGAATTTTATTGTTTTAAAAGCACTTTAAATGACAGAAAACAACAAAATTCTAAGTGCTTTTATTTATTTTTTTATAAATTAAAATGATGCAGTTTTATTCAAAGTAACTTCTTTAAATATAGTTTATTTCAGCATCTAGCTAGGGCACGTTAATTTAATCTAGATTAGAATCTGGCTTTTTTCGTTTTCTTTTTAAACATTCCTCCTCGGTATTATTTCTCCATTGCTATTTAGTGCAAAGCAGTCATTTCTCTGTCTTCTCTTTCCTAACAGGATTCACCACATTTGATAGAAGCTGAAAAGCTAACATGCTCACTACAATTTCAAGTCTCTCTTGTTCTAAGTGCTTTTAAAAAAGCGTTTAAAACTGTGAAAGCTTCGAATATTAATTTAATGGAGCAGGTTGTAGTAGTATTGGGCCCTGCATCAGTGTTTAGATTTGTAAATTATTTCCATAGTATGAATATTGCAGAACCAGGTCCAGGGACTCAGTTTAATAAGACTGGGAAATACCTGAGGACAGAGGAGAAACACAGAGGTGAAATTTTTAAGAATGTGGGCTTAAGCTGTCATCCGTTATGTCTCTTCTAGATGGAGCAAAAGCAGGTGGTACCTCCGTTTAAACCAAATATTTCTGGGGAATTTGGTTTGGACAACTTTGATTCTCAGTTTACTAATGAACCTGTCCAGCTCACACCTGATGATGAGTAAGTATTTCTGAAGACTGAAATATTTTTAAAGTGCTTTGATAGTCCCATTTTTTAATGGCTACACAGTGTTCCATGATCAGATCATCTTATTTTATCTAATCATCCAGTTACAGGACATTTGAATTATACAGTTATAAAAACAGTACTTGTCATTTTCTACTTTGCTGACACGTATTGTGTCTAATTCTCACAGCAGTCTTACAAACCTCGTTGTCGTCCTCTTCATTTTACAGACGAGGAAACTGAGGCTCAGAGATTAAGAAAGGTTATGCAGCTGTGAGTTGACAGAGCCGGGATTCAAACCCAAGTCTGACTAAGGCCCATGCTCTTTGCACTGCACTGCACTGGTTCCCATTGTGATAGTGACCATCTTGGTCTGAGTTCTTGAGTATTACCTTTAGATATTCCTAGAAGGGCAATTAGGTCAAAGGGTATGAAATTTTTAAAGCTCTTGATATGTATTGCCAGATTACTTTTAAAAAAGATTACATCAGTTTGTCAGATCCAGGCAGCAGTGATTTGACATACTTTTTGTGTTTATATCTCTTAAAGATATGGCTTAGAATAACTTGGGGATATTTGATCCTTCAGCTGTCATTACCGATTCATTCTCTCATGTCATGGAAGCCCTTCCTGCTTGGCAGTCATTTTACTTTAACATCTGGTTAGTTCTTATCACATTCCTCACTGCAGCTGTTCCAAACTCTCCCTACATATTAGAAGCCTTCAGTCATCCCCCTGCCTCCATCACTCTAAGTGGATTAACCTTGCCTTGAGTGGACTGCCAAGGTTGAGACCTCCCTGCTGTGAGCTTGCTCCCTTTCCAGCTGTCACCAGACCACCTTGCATCTCAGAATTGCTCTCTTAACTCCTCGCAAGCTTTTGCTGCTTCTTGGAAGGCTGTCCCTCTTATGCATGGGGTACCCTCCCACTTTCCTCAATCTTTCCTTTATTTCCTCCAGGATTCATTGTGTCAGTTATCCCCATTACTTCACCTTCCTTAATTTCTCTTTTCCAACTTCTTCTCTCTGCTTATAAATATGCTCAAATACGGTAATTTTCCCCACTTCTTTGAGCCGCCACATTTTTCTCTCATCTTCTCTTCATCTTCAAGCTTTTTCAAAAATAGTTAATAGATGCTTATGGTAAAAGAAAAATAAATAAGCACTGTCTCTATTAAATTCCTTCAAAGTAGTCAACATTGATTGTCTTACACTTTCTTGCTGCCAACACTTTAACCTCTTAGAATTGAACCTGGTCTTTAAGCTTTTGAAGGTTGAATTGGCTTCTTAATGTCTAGATTTTAAAGCATTTTTTGATCTGCCCTGTCTCCTCCAATGTCTGTAAAGCATCTGACACTGATGGCCTGCTTTAGTTGGTGCTGTCCATCCTGGTTCTGCATTATCTCTTTAACCACTTGTCATCTTATTTACTCTGTCCCCTTGAGACTAGGATGCTCCATGATTCTGTTCCTGACTGCCTTCTCTGTGCTACATGCAGTTTATACCTTGGAGATTTCAGCCAGCCCCGTAGCATGGATACCAGCTATTAATTGCCTCCCAGCTAAATTGGCAAATAACTGTTGAACTAAAGGCACTAGTAGACAGTAAGCCTTGATCATCTTTGAATGTGTAATACTTAGCATAGTGCCTCTTGTCATTATTTCTCACAGCAGTGTGTGTTAGAAGGAGCACTGGATTTAATCAAAAGATGGGAATTTAAATCCCCTCACCGCTCTTACCAACAGGGTTCCCTGGGTCTGAGTTACATAACTTCTCTGAGCCTGTGTCTACTCATATTGCCTACTTGCCAAGCTTGCTGTGAAGAATAAATGAACGATGGTTTCTAAAGCTCTGAGCCACCGCCCTGTTATCTCCCCTGAGCTTCATTTCCCCTTAGTAGTTCGGAGTTTGTCAGACAAGCACCTCAAACATCTGAAGTGTAAATTGTTCTCAATCAGGTCCTTGTTTTTATTTACCCTTTTCTGCTCCTTGTACCACCATGCATTCCTTTATTCAGATTCAATTATCTGAGTCAGTGGCTGTTGACGCCAACTTTTCCTTGCCAAACTGTATAATACCTTCAGCTGCCAAGTTCTTGTCTCTTTCTCCTTTACTTCATCACTTGTGTCATTTCTAACTGGCTCCTCTTTACTTTGCAACCCGTTCGGTACATACAAAGTACCAACTCCTTTATTGAGAACCCTTCAGTAAACTCCTGCCTTGCCTAGCAGGTAAAATCTGTCCTCTTGGTGAGTAATTACAGTCTCCCATCATCTGCTCGAGCATGACTTTCTAGCCATCTCTCACTACAACACAAGCGCCGTGTTCTCATCAGGCTCAGTTACCCACCATCCCCTGATAGCATGCTGTTAACACTTCCTCTCTATTCCTCCTTCCTTTTCACCTGTTGAAATCTTCACCATCTTTCAGAGCTCCCTCAGAGGTAATCAGACTTTTGATAGATCAAGATGGACCTCTTTAGTGTTAACATCACTGGCTTCTTTGAGCTGGCCATTACCTTCCTTTCCAGCATCCTCTGCCACTCAACACCCTTCTATTCCTGTCTCCAACTCTAGTAAATTACTGACATTTCACAGACTTACCATAGTCTTTCATAATTCCATTCAGTTAGTGTTTGTGGAATCATGCTGCCTTTCTTGATTTTGCCAAGTAGAAGTCCCCTTTTTCTTTGGAACTGTGGTTAGAGCAGGGCTTAGTCGTGTAGGAGACTTAGCAGGTTCTGTTTTGTTATACGAAGTACCTTCCCTCTTAAAGGAAGGGGCCATGTCCTGTGTAACTTTGTTCTCTGTGGTATGATAGGTACATTTAAGTACTAAAATATTTGATGGGAATACTCTTGTATACTTAACTAGGAGCCCAGTGTAGCAGAATGCCAGCCTCTCTGCTCCCTGTCATGGACCACTCTGGACCTTTCAGAGTACTTCCTCTGGTTTTTTCACTGGTTAACTTCTGAGCTTTCTCTTCACCATCTTCCATCTGGTTGTTGAAAGTCGCTCAGTTGTGTCTGACTCTTTGCGATCCCATGGCCTATACAGTTCACTAAATTGTATGCTGATTCAGACCTGGGTGTTCACCTATAATTATGAATGTTGTTTAGGTCGGAAGTTAAGATTACCTAGGATTGTGACTCTTTCTGCCTTTTTTATTTCCAGTCTTCAGTTTTGGACTACCTTTTGGTTCCAAACTTGCTCGTGGGATTATATCTTTTCTGATTTTCAGTACTGCTGATTCTTCTAGAAAATGGGGATTAATCTAAAAACTTTTAGATTTTCCCCCCATAACCTATAAATTAGCCTTATTTTTAATTTTTAATCTTATTTTACCATTTAAGTAAAAAAAAAATTGAAGAAATCTTGATGGTGAACATTATTTTTCCTTCCACAGTGACATTGTGAGGAAGATCGATCAGTCTGAATTTGAAGGTTTTGAGTACATTAATCCTCTCTTGATGTCTGCAGAAGAATGCGTCTGATCCTCCCTGCTCAACTGTGCATTTTGCTTGTGTTGCCATTTAATGCATGGATAAACTTGTTACCAGTCTGGATGCAACGAACCATTTTATATTTGTCACCTACAGAAAAAACACTCAGTACCTTCTGTTGTTGGCTGTAAGAGTCAATGATTACATCTCAGTTTAACTACGAAAAAAATGAAACTATTTTCCAGACAATCATGTCAAAATTTAGTTACACTGGTAATCCAGCAACCTACTGATGAATAATAAACTTGTCTTTTTTGTTCAAAGGAAATACTCACTAAAAAGAGTGTCTGTCGCATTAAGGGACATGGTGGGGTTATATCATGAACCTCCTATGATTTTTGTCATATTCATGAGGTCATTTAAATATTTAATTTTGGAATAAAAGAGTAATTCAAAATATAACTTGTTATATTACCTGTTACTTTCTGAGTTCTTGATGTTTAAAAATTCAGCTGTAAATTCTGTCATTGCCTTAGAAGATTAACTTATTGATTTTTAAGGCAACAATTATTAAAAATACAAGTTGTTGCTTGCTTAGAATTGAGGAATACAGATTCTTCTGAGGAAAAGAATGGGCACATTTTATTAAGAACCAGATTCCAAATTATTAGCTGGCTGGCTTTGAAAAACTGATTCAAGTGATTTCTTTTATAGTGAGGGGTTAGCTTCTCAGTTTATCCCTGCAGTGGGAACTGTAACTGGAATGTTAATAAATGTAGTTGAGAGAACCCAGGCTTCTGTTCAGTGGAACACTTCTCAGTATATAAAAAGAAAACAAAAAACTTAAAACAGACACACAAAAGTGCAATGGTAATATTTATTTTTTATTGGCAAGTAAATCCCACAGTCTTTTTGTGATTTGATCTAAATAATAAGGAAGCACTAGCTTGTTACCAAAAACTTGTAAGAGCACTCCATTATCCAGTGGGCACAGAATGTGTACTATTTTTTCCTTGTAATTCAGTATACGGGAAAATAATTTATCTTCCAAATTGTGTCTTGACCATGCTTGTTTTTTCCCCAAACCATACTTTCATATCCTATTTTGGAGCCTTCAATGAAATTCAAAAAAAAAAGAATAAACATGAATAAATGTTCAGGATATGCACACACACTCACACTCATCACAGTTCCAACTGCTTAAGTGAGTTTTAGTGAAGTAGCTAATACATGTAATCAGAGTAGAATACATTTCAGGGGCAGAGTTCTTCAGATTATTTTTAATATTAGTGCTTAACAATTATTATTTAAAGTGATACCAATGATAGTGTTCTGTTGTTTATTTTTAAATATTTTTTTATGAAAAGGGACTTAAAAAATAAGCATGATCATTTAAATTACTTATAAATGTCCAATCTTAGTAAAATGTTACTTTTCGGAAAGATATCTAGTCTTAAATTTAAAATGACTTAGTATATGTAGGCATTTAATAAATTGTGTCTTTTTTGACGGGGTTGCTGCATTTCATTTGAAATGTAATTTTTCCAAAGTTTCTGTCCATGTACTACTCTTTTCTTTGAATAAGCAGTGAAACCTCAAAGGAAATGTTTATATAGTTCACATGTTTATTTAAGAAGTATATATGTTTCTCTTAAGACCTGAAACTTCTTTTAGGACAAAAACAGTATTTACTTCAAATCATAAATTTATAAAAATTTTTGACATATCAGAAAATACTTTATGATCTTGCTTTTAAATGGTACTATTTTCCTTAGGACATTTGTTCTCAAATTTTAGAATATGGAATAATCACCTAGTAAGTTTGTTATAAAAAAGCACATTGTTGGACCCACCTTAGAATTCTGTTGGGTCTTGGGACCTCAGTTTGAGAAGCTGTTTTTTTTTTTTTTTTTTTTAGTTTTATTTTGTCCTTAGTTACATATTAGAAAGAGTACTCATGATAAAACATTTTGAGAAGGGTTAGTTACTGTCTTACCTACAATTTCAAATAAATTTTGAATAATTGACTTCAAGTTAGATATCTCCTAAAAAAATCATCGGTTTTCTATCAATGTTACAAATGATGAGACATTTTTCTGTGATGAGGTTTTAACCGTTATTCAGGGTGGCCTTTTTTTTTTTCAATTTTTTTTAAAACTAAGATTTACTGTGTATATTTTATACAGAATTGCATTACAAATATGTTTTTAACTGTATTTTGTTTTTTTTGTAGTCCTTATGTGCCATGACAGTTCTTTTTATATTACATAGAAGTTGTCTCAAATACTCACCAGAGGACTAAGACAGTTGACAGAATGGTTGGGATTTTGGTGTTCTAAGAAAAAATTTATTTTACATAAGCATTTATGTGGTCAAATCATTTTCTGTGTATGCAGCCTGAAAAGGATTTCAGGTATTATGCTTGTTTAGTACCTGTACATTTACTTAAAATAATTTTTTTTGTTTTGATTTTTGTCATGTAGAATACTGCCTTGGTATAATGTAATCTGTATTTGTGTACCTTTTTTTTATTTTACTTTAAAATCTAAATAAAATGTTTAATACTCATCAGGATCGGAGCATGTTTACTGTGCAGTGTTTCAGAGTTTTGTGTAAGATCAAAGGTATATTCAAAATTGGTTCAAGAAGAAAAATGAAAATTTTTAGAGTTTGGGATTTTGCTGTACTTAGAGCAGCTTTCTGGTAGTTCTCATGCCATATTGTAGACATTTACTCATAAAATATTGTTCAGTGTATTTTTAAACTCTCCCGTCTATGCATCTCTTATGTTGGAAAACAAATTAGTAAAAAATCAGCTGAAGAGAGAGCATTTTAACTAGTTTTAAAACTGAATTGAAAACTAAATTTAAACAGAACAGTATGTTCTACAATGATCTATTCTAGAGTTCCAGAACTTCTTTCTCAGTTGTAGCTAGTGTTCTTATATAAACAAGCATGAGCCTGGCGTCTCACACTTCCAAACCTCTTCAACATTACTTAACCTTTCTTTTCTTTTACAAGGAGAATGAAATTCGAAGTGCTTTTCTTTTTATTAATTGACTTGTGAGATAGCTAGAGCTGGTATATTAAAACCACCAAAGACTGATCTCCTGTGTCTTCTCTATTATTTTATCCTAATATCCCCTATGCGTGCATGCGTGTTCAGTTGTTCAGTTGTGTCTGTGACCCCTTGGACTAGCCCACCAGGTTCCTCTGTCCATGGGATTCTCCATGCAAGAAACCTGGAGTGGGTTGCCATGCCTTCTTCCAGGAGATCTTCCCAACCAAGGAATTGAACCCTGCTCTTCGGCATTGCAGGCAGATTCTTTACCATCTGAGCCACCCAGGAAGCCCCAAATATCCCCTATACCAAGCCATAAATTTGGTTGTTTTCTTTCTGTTAGTAAAGTACCAAACAAAACAGAGTCCAAAGAGGAGTTTGAAGCTTTCGGGAAATTTTGCATTTGAGCAAATAATCAATAGGACAACCGGTTTCTCCGTGAAAGGTAAAATCAGTCTCCAGTCTTCAACAGGTTGGTTTCTGGACAGCACCCAACAGGGAGTCATTTGGTATAATTCGTGGTCTCCCTTCATAGATTTATCTTCCTCTCCTCTAGGACTTAAGGAATCAGCTAAAATGCATATAGTCTGAGTAGTTTGTATCCAAAGTTCATTGTTCCAGAATGTTCTGGAATTTGCTATGTAAAAAAAGTGTTAGTTGCTCAGTCATGTCTGACTCTTTGTGACCCCTTGGACTGTAACCCACTAGGCTCCTCTGTCCGTGAAATTCTCCAGACATTACTGGAGTGGGTTGCCTATGCATTATAATGGGTTGTCCCTATGCATGGTGCTAAATAAGGCTAATAAACAGAATTTCTGCTCTTGACATTTGAGATAGGGACCAGACATACTGAGAAAATGCTTGTCATCACAAAAATAGTACAGTGATAAAAGCCAATAAATGCAGTAAAGTATTATGTGGCCATGATAGGTTATCAGCTTTGCCCATAACACTTGTATGAATTTTACTTGATATTTATTTTAGGTTTATAGTAGATTCCAAAAAGTTTTATGAGTTCAAGTATACATAATCTTATATATTTATCTCTAATATGTATATATATGCACACACAATATATACATAAATACTATATATACACAGAGTATTCATATATAAGATGGCTTTTGGCTTTTGTGCTCAGAAATATGAATTGAAAGTTACATGAAAATGGGAGAGAAAATTGTCAGATGCTTCTGCTTAGATTAGATTTGTTAACAGCTCATCTCTGAAATTTATAATTAAGATGAATCTAGCTCAGAATTTGAGATGATTTTTTGCTTGAAATGTGGCAATGCAGTTCACCTTAACTTAGCAATCTGTGCCTTAGTGGCATTAACATATATTTTTACTCCAATTACTATTTTTACTGAAGAAAATGGAATTCTACAGTTTTTCTAAGAATAAAGCGGCTGTTTCATGTGACCTTTTATGGGCTATCTGAAAGTTAAACCCTGTGATAGATCTATTCACTAGACTTGAGAGAGATTTACCTCAAGTTTTCATTGACAGTTTAGCAAGTCCAAAGCAAATTCTAATTGTGTAAGAAAGAACCCTGTGGGGGAGGGGGGAAAAGAGCCCATTGAAAGGCTCTAACAAAATCCTTAAAAAAATTGATGCTTTGATTTTCCTGCAAAAGTCAAGTGCTCCTGGGTTTCTAGAAGTAGTGCCATGTAACCAGGTTTAAACCTTCCATCATGTAAACTATCTGCAATGTGGGTGGTTTTATTTGATGACTTTTTATGTTATTATATATTTAGGAGGAAAAATCATGTAAAGACAGTTACGTACAGAAACCTAATTCTAACTCACATTTTATGATATTTTTTTACAGAAAAAATACTTTGTTGGCCTTTGATTTTTACTTAAAAATCAGATATTTAAATTTAAGAAAATGTTTGCACTTGAGAATCACTTGAAAGTTTACTCAATTTGAAACAATATTTTAAAGAAGAAATCTGAATCTGTTAAAGAGGATATTTTACTACATTAT